GGGCTGGTATGCATTAGAGTGCTAGTGTTATCTTTCCATTGAATTATAACAAACAAGAAGTTTCCAGTTCCTCAGCCAGGTGGCTGACTCAGCATCACATTTATCACATATTATCTCCAGTCCTGCTGGAAGTGAGGCACGACAATAAATCCTCAAATGAGATAGCACGAGCTAACTGCAGACCTCCGAATGGCACATTCTTCTGGAGCTCCAAGGCACAAAGTCGTGTTTCATTACATGACTACAGGTTATTTTTAGGGTGAACTTTGGCCAAATCACTTGCAGAGCAAGCTCTGAATTTGAAAAATGGCTCAACATTGGCTGAGCTTTGGAAAAAAAAAAGTTATCTCAAAGATTGGTTTGATTTGCTCTGGTGAAAAGTAGCAATATCATTTTCTCTCTTGGAAAATAAGCCAAAAACAAAACAAACCAAGAAATTCAACCCTAACTGACTTGAAGAAACAGAACATTTTATTGTGTTCCTGCCAGGTGGATTTTCTAGTCCAAGCACGGCAAGAAAATGACTTCAAAATGCTAGAGAAAGATAGTAGATAATTTGATGGCAGAGAAATAGTGAAAAACATTGTCACGTGTGTCTCCTGGGAAATGCTATGTGCACTGGAGAGCCTGGCAGAGCAGAGTTCACTGGCTGATCTTCCACAGCACTGTTCTCACTTTCACACGTGCTGGGCAGCGGAGCAGCATGTTGCTATTGCCGGCTCTTCCTGCAGATGCTCTTCTTTGCTGCATCTGAAAGCAGCAGGGCCTGTAAACTGTATACAACAGTAGCATTATCAATATGCTTTTTATTACACTAGAAGAAAATACAACCAATTATAGGCATTTGTTACATGCCCTTTTACCTCTCTGATCTTTTTTCCTACCACTTTCCTACTCCTATGTTGTTCTCTGTGCATCATTTTGAGGAAAGCTCTGCATTTAGTTCTCCTTTATCTTTTTATATCTTTCCTTCCTTCTTCTCGCCAAAATCCCTTAATCTATTATGTTTTTTTTTTCCAATTTATTTTCACATTCTCATTACAGAAGTCACGTGCTTGCATAAGGACATTTGCCTATCACTACACGTAGGCAAAAGCTATTCCCTCCTCTCTGTGTTTAAGGAAACATTTCTTTCTGTCCTTCTATGTCAATAAAAATACTACGTACCAGACACTGCTGACACCTGTAGTTTGCTGCCATCTCCAGCTTTTGTAAGGGAACTTATGCTTGAGTAAACTGCACACTCTGTACGAATTGTCACCCTTTTCTACATGACGGACTGGTATTTGAAATCAAAGCTCCTTTTGGCAGTAACAAAGCTCAAATTGTTTTATTCCACAATGTGCATCCAGTTCACTTAACATTAAAATCTTTGCTGGTGAATTAGCAAACTGGTACAAACGGCATGTCAAAATCTCTGTTGGATTTTGAGACACATCTAAGCTATTGAACAGCAGCTAAGTTTTAGCTGGTGACCTCATTGCATTTGCAAGAGACATTTACATGAGTTTAAAAAAAAATCTGGTCTGAAAAATAAGCCATATAGCCTACAAATATTGTTCATATCAGAAAGAGTGAGGAATTTTGTTTTTGTAGCTAATATGCCAAAAATAACAAAAGTTAAGTTCGGTGCCCTCTTAAAATTTTTTTTTTCCAGATGTAGGATATTAAAATGTGCTCCCTTGATTATCCCCTCTCTTTTCTTCCCCAGAATATCCTCACACCAATAAACATATGTGATTTCAAAACCCAGTAAGTTCTTGCCAAGCCAGCGGGTTACACTAGCTAGAAGCATTCTGGCTCGTGAAATACATGCTTGAAGAAATGCACTTACATCAAGGACCACGTGTAAGCAAACCCGGAGTATTCAAATGATAATGTAGGTACCAAATGATTGAGGAAAATCTTTCTGGTTCTTTATATATTTCTAGTGTAACTTTCTCGATGAGATTTGCAGTGGTTTTGACTTATCTTAACTTGTGGCTCAGATGTTCCTGATGCCTTTCTGACTTGTAAGTGTACCTCAATTCTGACAACTTACCCAACAGGTTAAGAGCATTTGAAATATTGTTCTAACTAGTTTATGATTATATGCAATGTATAATTGGAATGGGATATTTCTAATAATAGCATTTTCTTTACATGCTTAAATAATAACGCTCACATCTGTAACTGCATGCAAAATGTAAATATATCTAGCACAGATTCTTGACATGGAGGAGGTAGCTCTTGGCTCCTGAAAGTTCAGTTGAAAGCCCAGGATATACAGGAGATCACTAGGAAAAAAAAAAAAAAAAAAAAATGGAGAATGGAAGTGATGGAGCAAAAAAAAGGGATGGATCCCCAAAAAAGTGATGGAGCAAAAAAAAATCACATACAAAAGGCACAGGTGTCTTTAGAGCTCATCTTTGGATTATCATCTTCCTAGATTTTGGTCCCAGTCCAGTTAGGAAAGTGCATTAAATATTTTTCAATTTCATTTGTACTTTTTTTTTTTTTCAACTGCAAATGCTTGTTGCGTAGAGTTGTATGATGAGAGGGCATTAATGGGCAGATGACACAAGGGGTCAAGCTGCAGTGGAGAAGTGTTACTTACTGCAGGGCTTTCACGACCAAAAACCATGTCACTAATAGTCCAAGTTCCCCTACAAATTGTCTTGATCAGTTTTGACTCTCCTCTGCTCTGTCATTCTGCATAAATGATCTGCTGGCTACCCGTCTATAGAAAGAAGGTTGAAGGAACAAAAGAGAGGCAGAAGTTCTATATTGCAAAAGGTGTGAAGTCCTGTGTAGGTGGAAGGAGCATAGAATGGGAGCTGCCTTTGGAATCTCCTCCTCCATCCAGAAAACTGGACAGCTCTGCAAGCCTCAGATCAAAACATAGGCTCCAAGGAAAGGAGCCTCATGTATCAGGAATCTGGAAAAGTCAGTTAAGTGACATCATTCAAGCACAAATGCAGAAATTATTGTCAACAGAGAGTAGCTATAACTCTTCCCATGGAAAAGACTCCCACTGAGTATATTAGATATTGTCTCAACCTTTACACTTGAACAAACCCAGACTTCAGATTTCTCATAGTTTAAAGGACGACGATGATGATGCCTGGCTATTGAATTATACTCTATTACCCACATAAGTTGTTTGTTCTGATTTTCCTGATTTATCAGTTATACCCATTGCCTAAATAAATAAAATTGAAAGAAAGAATACATGGACATGTTATCTTTCCATAGTGCATGACACGTAGACCCTGCAAATGAAAGTTGCCTTTTCCTAGAAAGGAATCCTCCTTTACCTACGCAGTTAAAACAAGAGAATGCAACACATACGTGCTGTATACAGTCTCCTCCTTTCCGTAACTGTATAACTTTATGTGGTTTAACTTGCGTTGGCTACCAGATATTTAGATTCCATGCTCAAGCACACAGTGAGGAACCCCGGATCGCCAGCCGCCCACGCAGGACTGCGGGATCAGGTTCGGTTATTTCAAGCACGCGGCGACAAGCGGCCATGGGCAGGGGGTGCGCAGGCCGTGCTCTCCACAGACGGTGTTTTGGATGAACATGGAGCCATTGGCACACGGGTGAAGGCCGCAGCGGGACGGGGACGGACACGGGGATGCGGTCGGACATGGGGACACGGTGGCAGCCGGGTGCTGAGGTGCACAGGGTGCGGGACGCAGGGCATGCAGGACGCTGGGCTGACACTGTGGATCGGCCTGGAGACCCCGGCTCCTCTCCCACCACCAGCCCTGCTGCCATGTCGCTGCCTTCGCCACCACGGCGCTGCCTTCGCCACCATGGCGGTGTCATGGCTGCCACGTTGGCACCTTGGCTGCCGCGTGAGCGGCACAGCCGGGCAGGGCAATGGAGGGCCGAGGCCACCCAGCCTCGGTCACCTGAAACCCCGGGGAAGGCTACGAGGGAAGGAGGGATCGAGACCCCGCGGGCGGCGGCTCCTCCGCCCTCGCTCCTTCGAGCTGCCGCCACGGCGGCGCTGCCGCGCGCGGAACCCAAGTGCCCGGCGCGCGTTTCCGCGGGGGCCGCCTCGCCGCGGCGCCGCCACAGGGCCCCGCGCCGCC